ATGAGTAGGAAGGGGTCCTGACCCTCAATCGGTTAAAATTGTAGTCAGTTCCCGATTGCCTATCCTAGAAAATTTTCTTAATTTACCACAGTCTAGTGTGTAAATATAAATTGACTATGATAGGTACTCCGGGTAGCTTTTAATGTGTTTCTGGTGCATTTGTAAAGTTCGGTGTCATTGTAGAGGAGTCAAATCATCCTTTAGTGGTTTCCTGATATTCTTTACAAAGGAGGATGTCTACAAGCGGGATAAAAGAGGCTCTACTAAACTACTAAATCTGTGCTAATTACATTTACTAGCATCCAACTCCACTAGCATCAACTGAAACCAAAACATGTGAATCTTAAAACACTAATGCGTTGTCGACATTCAAAACTGTAACCCACAATGTGAAATTTTCCCATTTTACATCCACTTTTCCATTCGTTCTATCCGAAACAATCGTCTTCAATTGTTGAGCTGCTGTTTTAATTCGCTTATTTTTCCTTTCGCTTCTGCTTCCTTTCCTTATCTTTTTGACAATATTCACTTAAACCCACAAAATAAAAAACCCCAACAATAGCTTTTTAAGGTAAACAAAATAAGTTTATCGCTCATTATTTTGCTGAAAAAAGTAATACTTCGATGCTTTAATTACTGCCATAGGCCATTAAAGATAATTAAGAAGTCAGGTATATTCACTTTTCTGCGTTATTAAGTCGATAGAAAATCATGTTTAATGGCAAAAGCTCATGGCCACAATTAATTGGCATCTGAATTGTTTATGAAATTTTTCTTTGTTGATAGGCAGCACTTTTTGATAAAATCCCTTCCATTTGCCACTTTATTTTCCTCACACTATAAGAACAAGCTATACAAATGTGAACAGCAACAAAAAAAGGTGAATTACGGCGAAATGAAAGTGAAATATCGATTTTTCCTATTTTATTTTCAACACAACAAGATTTTCTCGTTAAATACAAATAAAAAAACATAAAGCCTGTCAATAGCAATAAGCGAGAATATTTGTCGAATGAACTAAGTATACATATAGTAGGAGTGGAAATAGACGATTGGAATGAGCGAAAGATAATTGAAAAGTTGAAGTCTATTTGGTCCAAGAAAATGAAGAATGAAAACATGAATGCTTTCGATAATAGCGCTTTTAGGTTAGGGTTGTAGCTTAGGATATCCAGGACTTTATTTTTCTCAACTCTGTAATTTATTCTTTAGCTAAATTCAAACTTTAGTTATAAATAAATACCAAATCTATCCCATCCAGACAGACAAAATCTATCTACAAACTCAATCTTCCCTTCCATGAATTAACCGCATTAAAAATAAGAGAAAGACTAAAAGTAGGATGAAGAATGAAAAGAAAAACTCAAATCGATGCTCGATCAAGTGTAATAAGAACATTATTAGATTCAATGAAGAGAGTAAAAATATACCAAATACTTGTTCTGCATTGTTTGTGCGATAATGAGCTTTTCACATTCTTTTATGAAAACCTTAATTTGATTTTATGATTCTTTTCTTTTTTTTTGTATCATGAAATAAAAGTCAAGGAAGCATGAATGAAAGTAAAAACAAACTTGGTTCTTAAAATTTCTTTTTTTTTTTGAAGATTATTTAAATGCTTGACTTGACGCTTTGCATAAATTTTTATTTATTTTTTTGTTTCCCTTCAAAAATAAAAACATTTTAGTAAGTTCTGATGAAATTTATTTTCATCACCAAAAATTCTTGCCTGTTGGAAGTGAAATTTACGGTATTTTATAAATATTTAATAAGCTTAAGTGACAGCACTCCGCAAGGTAGCAATTTGAGTATGAAATTCGTGGAAACATCTAATTCAATTCGAAGTGCTGCAAAGAATTTTTTTGAATAATGTAATTGAATGTGTATTTGAATAAATTATCACCGAACTTACCTTTTAAAATGTTGAAGTTTAAAGTGAAATTGATTTTTTTTTGTTTCGTGACTACATCTTCGAATACTAAGACTTGACTATCTTTGGTTACTCTTTGGTGCTAGTTCCTGGCAATTGTCAATGGTGACTGGAATCCAAACCACTCCTTTGATGACATTTCTATCTGTAGCATACAAAGGAAGGCTGTGAGCCTCATTTCCAGGACATATGGCTTGGAAAAGGAAAAGTGAAAAATTTCCCATTCCCAGTATCGAACCCATGATCGATGTGTCAGTATTGGAATAATTAGGTACCGAAGGACTAAACCATTCTGCATCGAGCCACATGAGCTCACTCTCACTTAAACATAATCCACTCTAAATCTACTCTCGACCATCGACATGACAAATTTTTCTGAGGATTTTTCACACCTGCTCATAAATAATTACACAACCATGACTCTTTGAGGATTAGTAACAAATCATCATCCTCATCATCATCATCATGTAACACTATATATTTCTCCTATCACTAGCTTAATGAAATGTGAGAATTGTCTAATGATAAGAACATCAATCAGTGACAATTTATTATATTTTTTTTTCATCTTCCGTGTGTAAGAAATGGTCCGAATCTACTAAATGATTTACAGATTACTTTTTTTCTCTCCTCTTATCATCATAACACTTACAAATGTGTGGGAATTGTATTTATATGTCTTATCTGTTGAGGGGTTGTTCACTTATGACGTCCATAATTAACGGTCATTTTTCAAAAAAGGACAATGGAAATTTCTTTTTCCAGGAATTTCAATTGTTCTTTTCTTGCTGCCCCTCCCCCCCTCTGGACGTCATAAGTGAACGGTCCCTAAGGCTCTGTATAATTAGTAACTGTAGACGATGAAGATCTTGTGTAAATACCTAAGATTATTGCATAAATATTCTGTTATAAGATATTGTAGTTGCTAATTTTTTTTATAGTTTTTTTGTTTTATTTTTTACGACCACCAACGAGTTTAAAATTTGGACATAACCGGTATTGTTAGGTTTTCCGACCTTTTGATGTAATAAAAAAAATTCTAGAAAGATTTCAAAAATAATCTTTTTTTTGTGTGGTTTATTTTTAAAGACTTTTTGATAAATTAAAATTAATTTGTAAAATAAGTCGTTTTTGTTGGTTCAGCCAGTTGAGACACATAAATCATTTAAATGGAATAGATACTGACAAGTCAACTCAATCTTAGTGTTTTGTGTATGTGGAAAATTCTAGAGCTATAAATCATAAATTTGTGTCAATTTTTTTAAAAGGCTAAGGCACTATTGATTCAAGTTGATATGCATTTGGATTATGATGGGTTTTGCGAGCTGCAACACTCGAAATGAAACTCATCAAACCAAATGAATTAAAATCAATAATGGTAGATGTAATGTCATTAACAATGTTCGAATCCTTGTCACATCGACAACAGTCAAATAATGATTGAGGGTCTCAGATGGGAATCGAACCCACGTCCTCACGAATGAGGATTCCACAAATCTGATCTATTGCTTAACCATTCGTGCCACAGAAGTCTAACTCTCACACTGGCAGATTCGCCTTTATATGGCTTGAAACCTCTTATTCTACTCTACTCTGACACCGCATAGGATTCGAACTACATCTTCTCTAGCAATCTATTGTCCAACATTTTACATAATTAACCACGCTTTCTTCAATTATTATTTCTACAGACTTTAGATTTCAAATCATTTCATATTACAAAATTCTTTAAAATCATAGATTTCATAGATATAACAGCTTATTGCAGTTTAACAACAGTTTCATGTACTTTACGGTATTTTAATTTGTGAATAAAATTTGAAGCATTTCATTTTATTTTATCAATTATTCTGAAATTCTTTTACAAACTTATAAAAAAAAAATAATTCAAAATTTCTTCACTAATTGAGATATTTTCTCAAACAATTGACCGCAACCAGAACAATTTTTTGTATTCACTTCTTCATTTTTATCAATTAATTAAGTGAAGTATAGAAGTTTAACGAGCCAATAACTTTTAATGAGAGAATAATTTAACAAATTAACAGAAAAGAACCGAAAAGAAATACAAATGTGGATGATGATTTTGAAAAATGAATTTTAAGGTGGGGTCGTTTTGATGTTAGGTAACGTTAAAATAGGTATTTTTTAAGAGAGTCCTAAGAGGTCCTTAATATTTACTAAAATCTCTAAGTGAGTAAGAAATTTTCAATTTTATTTAAATTGGATGGAAAAGTACAAAAGAAGTCTCTGAGTCGAGGAGGGGAGGGAGGGACACTTGATTTGATGCTTCAGTTTTAAACTATCTGTTTAGTCACTAAGGCGGTCGACACAAGAGGTACTAAAAACTAGAGTTATAATAAAGTTTCTCAATGACTAGGTTTGGGTACCGTAATTAGCTCTAGTAGCTAGCCTGTAATCACAAAATCCCTGAAAACCCCCTGTACAATCCCCCACAAAATAAAACTCTAATAAGTAAATGACCCTACTTACCAGCTCATGTGAGGATTCACAAATTCTTCAAATTAATGATCAAAAATTCCACAAAAAAATCTGAGCGTGTCTGCATTTAATGTTTCTATTCATTCTGCAATACATTCTATTCAATTGAAACTATTCGAACTATTGAATTTGAACAATTTATGCTGGTATTTAATCTAGCCAACAGAAGTGTCTGCATGTGCATGATAATGCATCATTAACATTGATATTTCATAAAATTAATGAACAACTTAAAAATTCATTTCTAATTGCTGATTTCATTTGTCACAGATAATTTAATCTGCATGTATGTTGAAAAATCTGCTGGCTGATTGCTGGACAATTATTGATACTAGAATGGGTAAAAAATTGACCAGCATGAATTACATCAGATTATGGGAAGGAAGTGAATTTTGATGTTGAAAAATATCCGATTTTGATTCCTCTACAGATTGATTTTTTTTGTCCTCTCTCGCACACAGCAGTGCCTGTATGTTTGTGTGTTTTATGCATTTTTATGTTTTGCTGCTTCGTGGCAGTCAAAAATTCTCTCGAACTCAATTTTTATATTTTATACTCAATTGAGAGAGTTGCTCTCTTGAATTGAATGCCGGCATCGTCTCTACACAGCACGAAAAAACTGACAGCATTTTACTCTCTCGTATTCTCGCCCCGACGAGATGAGTAGAGTAAAAAAATTTCCAAAGCTATTATTCAATGAAAAATTCAACGTCAGTTGAAAATACTTACGGTTTGATATCGGAGCAAAATTATTTTCAGTCTCGTAAGCAAAATTTCTAAACCATTTCATTCATTTTATGTCAATAGAGTCTTTTTACATTCCGTTTTTTTCGGCCAAACCAGTTGAAAGTAAATTTTAAAGGAAAAATTTCGGAAGTGAAAATTTAGTAGCAAAAAAAAATATTGAAAAAGTTATAAAAATATTTTTCGAGAAGAGAATAAGAAAAAAAATCTGTGAAAAAAATTAATCGTGTATTGCAAATTGTTCCGTCATCATTCGACAAATACGAATTTACAAAAGAAGTCATAATAAAAAAATTATTGAAAATAAAAAATTCAACAATTTACAAGTTTTCAAATAAAAGTCGTGAATTAAATTAAATAAAAAAAATATTAAAGGAATGTTGAAAAATTCCATTGTGAATTAAATGAAAAAATATCTATTAAATTGATACTGTGGAAAAAATAAAATTTTTTGCTAGCTCGAGACTACGTGAGTGTGGTAGTGTCTTGAAATAAAATTGTGTGTGCTGCATGAAAAAAGAAGAAAAATAAAATAAAAAAATATTAAATAAGAGTTTCGGTGAATGAAAACCAATACAGTAGAGTGAAAAAAATATCATCGTCATAAATAAATAAAAAAATATATAAGCAAATTTAATTAATTAATAGAAGGGAACAGCCAACAGCACACACTTCAAGTTTCATACAAATATTCGAATTGTGCTTTCAATATTTAAAAGTTTATTTATTTTCCGGATAAAACAATTAAGAAGTTTATTAAGATTGCTAAAGGAACGGGCCTTGGAAACAATTAACTAGAAAATCAAAAAACTTTACGTGCGTGACTCAAGTTGAAAGTCAAATAAGCAAAGGATTCAAAGTTTGACTTATTTTTCAAGCTACAAAAAAAAATCCGTGACGGAAGAAAATTCCACAAAAAAAGCTCATTTAGGTAAAGAAATACAACAGATTATTTTTTTAATGGCATTTCGTACCTTTAATGAATGAATGTGTACTTTTCTCGCATCATCGAGTCGTGTATGTATATTTTCGCCTACCCAACTATACACATGAACAAAATGTGCTCGAATAGAATGAGTTGGAAAAACAATCATGCATGTCTGACCTTTTACTTTTGCGAATTGCGGGCCAGAAAATTATTTTTAATGAGCGCTTATTAAAATAATTCATGTTTTTTAAACTGCTGTTGCTGATTTTTTTTTCATCCATTTCTTTTGGAATTTTACTGTGTTGGCTACTCTATTTTTTTGTGTGTGCTATGTTGATACGCGGCATGTTCCTCATGCTTTTGTTATAGTTTTGATTGTCGGAAGTTGAAAGTTGCTATTAAATAAATTGTTTCGGTGAAGGAGGAAGAAGTAAATGCTTAAAACTAGTTCAATTATTGATGAAGTTTTAGAAATTATTGGGAAATTCCGGGATTGAGGTAATTGGTTGAGTAATACTTGATGCGAATTTGTTATTGAGATTTGGATTGGTGGAGTTTTTTGATGAAGAATCGGAAATTTCAAACTTTTTTGATTTTTTTTTATCTATTAAAAAATATTTATTGAAAATGTAATAAATCAGTGAGCTAAGTTGTTTCACAGTAAATGAAAACCACAGGGTTGCCTCGAATGGGACTGGAAACCAACTTCTAATCATTATTTGCATCTAAATCAGAAAAAATGTGCCAATGCAATTCAGACTGTTCACCATATTCCCATAAATAAAGGTTTGCTAAGCTACCGAGCTTTATGTAGACGCATTGTATGTTGCAATCCCGAAACTGTCGCAGAATGCAACTCAGCTTAGCTCTCCTAAACTTCATTTAGGCTTGTTGGTGATTTTAAGGATTCGATGTCAACAAAAATCATTTAAATTTTCTCAGAATGTTTTCCACAAAAATTATTTAATATCATTGCAACCAAACTTTCAAACTATAATACTCAATACCTATCCACCCATTCCCATTCTTTCAACAAAAAAAAGAACCAGCTCACACTTCAATCTCATGAAAAGAACCAAATCGAGAAAAAGAAGAAAAAAATAAAAATTCCAAAAACACTTCAAATTCATAAAAGAAATTCATTTTAAATGAAAGAGAAGAAAATATCTCAAAGAAAACTTTCTAAAACAATAAGATGAAGAAATGAGGAATGATTAAGAAGAATAGAAACCTAAAAAAAATTATTTTCTCTCTCTTCTCACAAAAGAAAGCATGAAAAAGACTTAAAAAAGATTCTTTTGCATCTGCATTGAGAGAAAAAAATAAATTTCTGTGGATATACAAAAAAAACATCATTTCCAATGATATTCATTCACAGAGGAACAAAACAGAAAAATATATAAATTTTTTAAATAGTCGAAAATTGAATTTAATTTAATAAAAAATTTCCTGTCTCATTTCATTGTTGTTGAGTGCTTGTGCTGTGCTGTGTGTGAACATGAACTTCACGTATGTGATTTTTACGAAGGCTATATTCGATTTGCTGCCGTGTACACACAAAAAATAATAATTTTTTTTCAGAATATTCTATTGTAATTTTTTAAGCACATGACTTGCCGACTGTCACTTTTCATTATCACATGATATGAGTCAATTTAAATAGTTTGTAGGAATGGAAAAAAAGAAGACACAAAGTTTCAAAAACAACACACATTCAACATTGTATGTCAGTGATTTTTGTGTCTTTTGTCTCGTGGTGATATGAGAATGATGTAAGCTATGAATAGATGGATGTGAATTACATATTAAAAGTTGTCGTTTTGTGGCACCGGCAATGAGTTTATATGATATATTATATTAGTTTTTCCTACATACTTTTGAGGAGGTCGTGTGTATATGATGTGTAAAATTCATTTTGTGAGAAGAGCGGGTTCTAGACTCTAGAGCTCTTTAACACTCGATATAAATAATCTTGAATAAATCAAGAAGCACGGACGTATGATTAGGACATGAAAAATTGAGAAACTGAATTAGCATAAAGAACCCCTAAGTCTAGCCCCAAAATCCCATACCATTCCACTTCCATCATCTTCAAACTCTTCCTGCCCATCAAAATAATTTCTGTGAATTTTGTGTGCACCAAAGACTAGTCGTGACTACGAAGAAGAAACGGAAGAGAGTTGTGTTAATTTAATTAAGACATGATGGCTGAAAACAAAGAATTTCAGTTGTTAGGCTTAGTTTTTAAAGTCTCGAAACACGAATATAGAAAAAAAAAATTTGAAAGTCTTTTTGGATGTGACAAATGAGTTTTTTTTCATGTGTATGTGGTAATTACTGCTTGCTGTCGTGCATGTATCAAATACAGCCAAAAAGTATTACATATAGTCCCATGATTATTTGATAAGAGTTGAATTCTCACATGATAAGGTGCTCATGTTATACAATTTTAGCTTCGGTTGCATAAAAATAGAAACAATTATTATTAAGTAGAACTCAGCAGTACCCGCTTGTGAGAAATTCTTTGGAAACAGCTCATGATTGTAACAATTAAAATCAAATGCACACAGGAAATGGGGGTATATTGGTCATATAACATTAATCTCGGAGAATTATGCAATTCTGCAGGTCATTAGTTGAGAATTGAAGTATAATGAAATTGGAATATTAAGTGTTGATGCTGAAATTATACTTGGATATGCTTTGTAGAAGCAAAGCTTGTAGATTTGAGTCGAAACTTGAGAATTGGTTTTTTTTTTCAAACAGCTTATAATTTATCACGTGTCTAATCTTGTGACTGTGTGATGAATAACTATTGAACTGCATCTAAGGCATTTAATCTTAGATTTGCTTTGTGAAGATTGGTTTGTGAGGGCTAAGTGACTTATCATTTAATCTCGAAGTCAACAAAATGATAACCATTGAAGGAACTCTAGAGCTCTGCGTCACTGTGGCACCTTACTTGTATAGGATACACATTTATTACTATTTAATTCCGTTCTTAACTTCCATTCTTTATTCTATACAGTTACCATTAATTTTTGATTTTTTGGCCTTTACTTCCTAATAAAAAAATGCTCATAATTTTTTCTACCTAGAAATTAACCAAATCTAAATAAGCAAACCCCCATGAGACATCCATTCCAATTTGTTGCTAGGATATTACACGGCTGAAGGAAATATTTTGAGGACTTGAGGGAATATTTTGTAAATAATCTAATTTTAGGGATGTAAATTAAAATGCCTTATCAATAATCATGAAAAGAATCCTGAAATTCCCATTAAATAACTCAAGCATGAATTTCCATAGCTGACAATTTCTCATTTCATGCCTTACATCTTTATCAGAAAATTGCAATCAATTTCATTAAAAGTCCAAAAACATTAAATCAAATTTTATATAATTATAGTAAATTTCATCTCCAAAGTAAATCACTTTAAGCCATTTTACGCTCTAAATCAACTTCTTCTTGCATCTGCCTTTCAAATTACACATTTTTTGTGCCCATCAAATTTCAGCACAACATGTCGCCATGGTTGTAATTGCTTCTCAATGTCATCACATCTAAAAAATCTTTTGCCAGTCTCATTAAAAACACTTTGTTCGGACTTTTTATTTATATAATGTGTGTCAGTCTTGAAAGATTATACATCATGCAGCAAGCTCGCAATTGATTAGCACATTTAGCTCGTGGCATACGAAAAAACAAAAAAAAAGTGCCGCTAAAAAGAATCTCATTTTGATTCATAAATAAAGATTTTTTTTTTGTTGCTGTATGAGCACATTCAATGGTTGGAATTGGAAGAGATGATGAAGATGGATGAAGAAAAAAAGAGTTGTTGACCTCGCGTAATAAATAATCGGAAGAAAAAGAGGAAAAGACACAAAAAAAATTAAAATTTCGTACACACATGCCATGAATTTTTTATTTCATCTCTAGATAGAAACTTTTTTTTTGGCAGTGCTGAGCTTTGAAGTAGAAACAAATACACAGACAGACAGACTGACATACAGAAAAAGTAAGAAATGATCATAGTTTTGGGCGTGTCACGATTTAAGAAATTTAAGATGCTGAAGATTGAAAACAGTTATTCTGCATGAAGGCATTGAAGCCTCTTCTTAATCACTTCTGAAAAATTATACATGGAAATTAAGTCTATAGCTCGCGATTCTCACATGAAATGCATGCAATAAGAAGACACACAAGCTTATGCTTGGCAATAAAAGCAACTTTGTAAGACTGCAAAAAAATGAAAATTTATTATGTCGTCCGAGTGTCTGATGATCTCACATGCTACATACTGAATGTGTCATCATTATTATCTGACTGACTATTTGAATGTATAAAACCTCGAGCAAAGCGATTGAATGAATGAATAGAGAGTGAGTTGGAAATGACAGAGGAAATGATTTTTTTATTGCCAAAAGTGAGAATTTTGCTCCATTCATCCACAAAAGTCTTGAAATATCAAATTTATGATGCTCACATGAGATGACTTGAGGCAGTGATAAATTGTCAATCTCTTCATTTATATTTGATGTATTCATGACTCTTTTTTTTGATGCCTAATTGGTTTTCTTTCTTTCATATCCTCAACTTTTTTTCGGCACCAAACCAATTTGCTTTCCTTATCATTTGAAACTAAAAGGAGATGAAGACATGAATTGAGATAAAAGTTTCTTCTTTATTGAATTGTTCGGCAATTGAGTGCCTGTGGGTTATTGATATTGATTCTCTTTTGATTGTGGATAGGGTTTAGAATTCTTTTGTGCTGGTTTGTGTGGGATTTTTGATTATTTTTTTTTGTGCTGGGGTGCTTGAAGCTTTGAAGTTTGAGTTGGTGGATGCTTTAAATAGACTCGAGTAAGTAACAAGATGCACTGAGAATTCTACTTGACTCTTATTAATAACTAGCATTAAAATATTCATCCAAACCAATCAAAAAGACAGACATTCAGTCACATGACATAAACATAACCTCAATACATCCACAGCCTACAA